CCCAGAAGCTGACATATTAAACTTAACAGCCAGATAATGAAATTATTTTACAAATAATTTCCGTTATTGGCTGCTTCACATCCAATAACTCTATATTATTTGTGGAAGATAAATACAGTACTATTTAACTACCCTTCAAATAATTTTATTCGATTTAACAAGAAACAAAACATAATCACGCTTACCAATAAAAGATATATATATGATGCATCTAGAGTCATCTAATCTCGTAATAATGAACGCTTTGTCCAATTAAAAATAATCTTTATATTCTCTGGATAAAATTATTTGAAGAGTATAGGCAGCAGTAAATTAGTATTATTATAATCATTATACTCATCAACTAAATTAATGTGAATGAAATGATTTAAAGATTATTAGAGAATGATAAATAAGTATTTATGTTCATTATTTGAGATTTTAATTCACTAATTATAAATCATCTTTACACTCATGTGTTAATTAAAAGCTCAAAAATAAAAAATTATCTCAGTATTTAGAAAATTGACTATGAAAAATTGTGACCATTCGTAACCATCCCAAATCAGATATAAGTATCGAACAAAGTTATATAGACATTTATATATCATGTGTATATGATGTTAATTAAAGAAATGCTAAGTCTCAATCCTTTTTTTTTTTATAAATATACTGGGGAACTAGAGCGAACGTAACGCAATAACATAACAATACAAATACGTATGTACGTTTGAATAAACAATTTCCTTTACTGTTTAGTTTAAAAAGGCAAAGTGGCGGCTCACAAGAATATAAACCAATGAATCGAAATACATCAATTCAATTCAAACTGGAAAATATCCAATAACGATCTGGATAAAATGCCAAACAAAATTATATTGGCGTTAACGTATATAAACAAATCTTATTAATTCTTCGATGAACCTATTCTGTTAAGATGCAAAATTTAGTAATGTGACTTACAATATACTCGATAAAATATTTAAAAATTCACTTAATTTTATATTTTAGAATTTTATTTAAATTTACAATAATCTATTCTGTCAATATTAGGTTTTAGCAAATTACTGTCGGCGAAATGGGCTGTCGGTGTAATGAACTGGTGGTGAAATGGACTGTCGGTAAAATCAGAAGTCGGGAAAGTGAATTCGGTAAAATAGGTTGTCGGAAAAGTAGATTGTCGGAAAAATGAGTTGTCGAAGTAATAGTCTGTCGGAATTTTGACGTCGGCAATACGGGTGTCGGTGAAATAGTTGTCGGGGAAATTTACCAAAACCCATCACATGACCCCATACCTAAGAATTTTCAAAACTTTGAGCGAAGACATCTCGATAACCATCTAATCAAATCCGATTAAACTTTTTTATTTGAATCTTATTGAGACATATAATTTGAATAAAAAAAAATTTCATCGAATTTAATCAGATAGTTATCGAAATATCTTTGCTCAAAGTTAAAGAAAAAACAAAACGCCTATCAAAATAGAAGCTGTGCAAAATTTTTATCTGATTTTGAACGAAGATATCTTGACACCTATCAAACAAAATTCGATAAAACTTTTTTTATTTGAATTTTCTGAATTCATAGAATTCAAATAAAAAAAAATTTCATCGAATATAGTCAAGTGACTGTCGAGGAATCTTTGCTCAAATTAGAGAAAATTTTGGCATACCGGTAGCTTCTATTTTGATACAGTATATGAGAAAAAATTAATTAAAACTAATAAAGATCAAATGTATTTAAATACATTTACATATTCTAATGAGTTATTTAGCAGATCTATGAGAATATTAGAAGAGATAAAGAATTTAGTACATCAAGAGCCGATACCTGAAAATAACAAACCACTAATAACAGACAATAAAATGGAATTACTTTCGGCCCTAGAAATAATTATTTGTTTTTTAAAACAAACATCTGGAGATTGTAATACCTTGATTAGTGATTATATAAAAAAATGGATGAAGTTAAGTGAGATGAATAAAGACAACAATAGTAGTTATGAATTATTAACAAGAACAAGATTGCAACTTAAACATATTGTAGCACTATATGAGTTAGTTGAAGAACATATTGCTGATATAGTTGCAGAGTTTATACCTTCGAAGTATCAAGCTGAATTAGATGAATCAATAATGCAAGTTATTACAGAATCAATAGATTTTGAGGAATCAGCTTTAGAAAAATCTGCAAAAATTCCATCAAAAGCATTCTTGATTGCTTTAAAAAGACTTATAGTAAGATATTTGTCAACTGATAATGAAATTATTAAAGAAAATATTCCTCTCTCTATATATTTAGTAGACGACATGTCTCTTGGATGTTGGCCTGATTATGTTTCCGTAAATGTTATAGAAACTAAATTTCCAACTACTTTACTAACTTCTCATATATATGATGCATACATGTTTATTAAGAAGGTAAATACTTAATTACTTTTTAGTTAAACATTTAAATCTTTTAAATAAATAGTTACACATTTTTATTAATTTTTAGAAAATACATGTTATCGATCAAGAAATAACACAAAATATCCAAAGTGAACAGTATAATAAAAGAAGCGGAAGACAAAATAGATTCCAATCTAAAAGGAAAATGAAATCATAAATATTTTATTTAATTTATTTTTACTATGATACATATACGTATTTGTTTTTTTTTCTCTTTTTAACCACCATAAGACGTACTTATTATTATATTGGTTACAAACTACGTAGTAAAATTTTATAGCTTTTTTTTTTTTGCTAGAGTACGAAGGGTATTTTCATAGGCAAAATTTTGCGTTACTGCGTTTTCTATTAAAAACAGATGCAAAATTTTTATTTTTTTTATATTGTTTATTGTAGAATTTTGATTAGAAATGAAAAATAAATTTATAAATAAAAATTGTTATCTTGAATTTAAAGTGTTGAACTATTTCTATTTTAATATTTTTAGATGGATTTAATGTTATGCGTCAATTCTCAATTTATGTCAATTATTAATTGACGTATGTATGTCTTTTTTTCAATTTATTACAAATCGCTTACCAGTGAATATTTATCAAAAAAAAGCCAACTTTATCACCAGCTACTCCTATTTAATTTTCTGATTCGGAGAATATTTTAAACTTTTATTTATTTTCGAAATAAGCTAATTCTGAAACTACCCTATTAGTGGGTTGAGTTCGAATTAAATTAGTGACGTATTGATTTTGTAATCAGCGGATATGATATTTGAGTGCGTGAGAGTGAAAACCTGAAGCTTATCATAGTAAATCATTATATGCAGTTGCAGGTTTTCACTCTCACGCACTCATTTGAGATGGGCAGTGGTTTCTTCAAAAATCGGACGCGTCATACGCGGATCACGCATCCCGCGCGCAAATATGCAGGCAGGTTTCTTAATTTTTTGTGTCCGATAAAAAAGCTATGCAAAAATTATTATTGAAATCAAATTTCTTGCTCTTCCAAAAATTTGAAATAGGGGCATGGGCATTATTTCGAATTAAGCTTAATTCTGGCTAAATAATGCCCCATGCCCAGAATTATGATAAATATGTCAATGCAAGCCGGATATTATACTAATGCCAGCCAGATGATATGTTAATGCCGGCCAGATAATTTTATCTGGAACCATATTAATAATCCCGCGCATCACGTGCGGAATCACAGCTCTATATATACATCATCAAAAAAGTTTATTTTATCTCCGAATATTAAACCAGATATTACTAAAATGTCTTTATTCAAAATTTGTAAAACACTGAATACATCCGTATCATAAATCAACGGATTAATTAGTAGTATTATAATATAAATATTGATATAATAAAAACGCAACAACACTAGATAGCATAAAGAAAGAAAGAAAGCTAAATCATATTAAAAAGATGAAACTAGCAAAAATGAAAACCTGCGACAGTAAACACTATGCGATACATCGCGATAAAAGAAATAGGAATTACATTAAATTATTATTCAATTCAATAAATTCGTTGCAATAGTTAACAAGCAAGTTAGCATTATGTTTGCTAGCATATTTAAGAATATATTTAGCGTTAGAACGTTCAACATAGCCATCACTAATAATTTTCTCAATAGTATCCTTTTTCAAGTCTGCTATTGCATAATAGTCCGATGCTTTCAAAAAATCTAGTAGGATAGTTAATTGTCTTTCTTTTTCTTTAACAATCTCTTCATCAATATAATCGTCGTAATCATCATCATCATCTCTAATGGTATTAAAGTTATCTAAATTACTCTTTGTAAGATTAATAGCCGTATCAAGTGGCATAGCGTATAAGTATCTTAACATGATTTTGAATGATTCAGGATTGATATCACACGCAGGAATTCTTGCTGCTTTATATGGATCTCCATCTCTATAACTACTTGAAAATGCAATTTTGAAGTGATTCGAAACTGCTGCAAGCACATATCTATTTGCACGAATTTCACCATATTCGTCAGCAAAATTTTTCCACTTTTCTTGCAATTCAGAACTAAAATGATCTATAGTAAATATTACATCATTAAGTGAATTACAAGATTCGGCTTCTAATAATTGCTGAAGTGATTTGACAAGATTTTCCGCCTTTAAGTTTATGTCTTCATTTTTTTGTTTAACTTGAATATATTCATAAACGTTTGGCCTTCTTATTTCGTCAGCCCCCGCAGTTTTCAATAACTTTTCATATTTTGCAAGACTGGGTTTGACAAAGCTTTGATCCAATCGGCTAGCACCAATAATTAGTTTATCTGCTGATACCCAATTTAATTCATTCAAAACATTCGGATCATTTGTATATATATTTAAAAAAATTTTTTCTCCTTCATAGAAATCTGTCTCTGTAAGAGTATTTTCTTCACATTCTTCATTAAGTCTAGTATAAATATCATCAACGATCCTTCTTAAAAGACGTTCTTCAAATACCCACTGATCAGATTTTATTAACTCTGAGGCCACTTCACGTAAATGTTCGAGAACGTCGGATGCACTTGGTTTTCCAAAATTCTTAAACTTTGTAAATATTGATGAAGTAGGACTTGGAACTACATTATGATGAAATATTGCCATCTGTGTAAAGGCTTAAATGAAATTACAATAAGCATTAAAAAAATGTTTAGTACGCAATTTATAATAATAATTATAATAATTATAATAATTAATTAATTAACTAATTAATTAATTAATTTAATTATTTACCTAACGTTTTATACCTAGGTAAACACAATGAACCAAAGCTTTCAAAATTTTGGGGGATCTTTGCATTTGACGAATAAGGAGGTTCAATAGACATTTCAGCTGGAACGAACGGTTCAATTGTCAATTCATCATTCCATTCTACATCAGAAAAACCAAGTTCATCTATGTTTTCATAAAGATAATTGACTATAGTTGTAGCACGATATAATAAGTTGTTCGGAGGTTTTCGATCGTGATTATACTTTACAATCGCTCTTGCACATTCGAGAAAAGTTTTCTGGTTTACTTCATATTTAAATCCCATTCTTTTAATAATTTCAAAACAATAATTATCATTTTGAATGTCATCGTGAAGAAATAAATCAGAACCTTCAAAAGTGATTTGAAATAATTGAACTTTATAATCGTAAAGATTTCTTGCATTTTTGAGTTTCTTCGTTTTTCTGTTTGGAAAAATAGCTTGATCTTTAATCCATCTCTCAGCTTGATTGAATTCTTTCGATTTTAAAACACTCTGGATGAATTTAATATGATCTTCATGATATTCTCTTGGGATCACATAATATTTTCGTAAATAATTAATAAGGTTTATGTAAGGTGTTTGCAACGCTACTAGTATCTTTTTAAAGGATTCGTTTTTAGGCTTGAGGAATAACTTATTTGGATGGTTTTTTGAATTTATTTCAATACCATCTGGTGGAAGGAATCCATTAACTGGACTCGCGAATTGTTGTCCACATAAAGTAGGCCAAATTGGTAGCTTGCGTAGAATGTCTTTAAATTCATCTTTAACTGTAAAGAAATTTAATCGTCAATTAATTAAAAGATATTCACTCTGAAAAAATTACTATCATTATTTATTTACCTAATGTTCCATTGTTTAAACTAAAATTATTCCAATTCTCAATAATAAACTTTCTCACCACCTTTGCATTTAGTTTATTATTTAAAAAATCAAACCTTTTACCATTTTGATCTGCAATATAAAATGATTTTAAAACGGATTCTGGTGTCCATTTATAGATATAGTCACTTAATTTTTCATCCCAAGAACGATCAGTAAATCTAATTTCTAAAGTTTCAAGTATATTAACCAATTCTTCATAATGCAACATATCGTTTTTAGGTAATTCCATTAAGGGTTGACTCAAATCTAGAAATGTCAATTCTTGTGTTGGACGTATAACTTCCAACAATGGATATTCATAAAATATATCCAAACTAGCGTTTGATTCCAAAATATATTTCCAAATTTTATTTAGCCAAATTTTATTGGGGGTGACAGTCGATTCAGGATTCCAATTTGTTATTTTTTTCCCAAGTGGAATTTCATACTTTAATAGAAGCCCAAGGGATACTGCGCTAAATTTCCTTATATTGGTTTTTTGTTGAAATTCAATATTTTCAAAAATTACTTTCAATTTGTCAATTTTATGATATCCATCGTTCACAAAATTGGATAAATCTGCATTTGGCACCAATTTACGTTCTTTTGATGTAGCTATATATCTTTGCCTAGATCGTCTACCAAATTTGCCCCAACTGTTATCAGCAAGGTGAATCAAATAAATATCATGCAAATCTTCATAGTCACCGTCTTCTAAAATAAATAAAAGCAATTTAATCAATTGTTCGTTATTAAACTTGAGTGAAAGATTTTTGTTCCGGAGGTTTTCCCTAACCAGTTCTGCGGGGATTGGAGCCAATTCAATATCAGCATTTTTTAAATCTTCCAACATGTCGAAGGATAAATGCACACATTTCACATCACTATATTTAGAAAGTATGTCGATAATAAATGCATCACTATCAAAGAACGATTCTTGCAGAGAGACATATGACCCATTTCTATCAGATGATCGAAAGAGTGGCTTATCTATAGGAAGATTTTTGAGAACCTCCTTCCCAAATTCTATGACATAAGCGGCAGGTTTTTCTTTGCTACTTGGTAAAGGCCACAAATATTCCAAAATCTGCTTGTGATTGATGTTATTCTCAATTAAATAATCTACGACATCCACTAAAAATCTTGCGTATATCTCTGGCAAAACTTTTAATAGCAAATGCCTATTCCATGATAACTTTGATTTATCGATTTCGGCAAATGGATCATCATCTAAAAGAACCGTAGATCTATCTGAAGATATTGCCCAATCACCATTAAGATGTACTGGTAGATGAGTCACTTGAGGTAAAGGTAAGTAACAATATAACCGTCCATCCAGTGAACTTTCAGTTGAATGTGAAGGAAGTGAAGCGGCAACACCTCCTCGTAATAACATTCTATGATTTTGTGCGAATTTGGTTAAATTTGTAGACTCGACAGAAATTCCTCCAATGCACACCTGCCATAACTTGGAACTTCTTTTACTATCATCTTGAAATTCTATATTTAAACGAAATGAAGTAAATCCTTCGTCTGTATGATGCCTTTCTTCCTGAACTTCATTAGGATTATTAGTCATATCGATTTTCCACAACGGCACAATTTGATCAGGTTGTGAAGTTTTGACTAATTTTTTAACCTCAAAAATTTGAATATTTCGAAAAAAGATCAATTCTGAAATCGCATTTAATTTCAATTTCTCTAAGAAGTTTAAAATATCTAAAGTATTAAATGTTTCATCACAAATTTCGCTTTGACAGACACGAAGTGGAAGCCTGAATAATGTTCCTTTATATTCTTTGTCAAATCTACAACCTTCTATTCCAATATATGGCGCTAATTGATCACTGAACAAGGTTCTGAATCTTCTGTTTTCAAGAAAATTAATTTGTATACCACGCTGCTTTGGAAGATATCTTTCATGTGGATCTAGAAATGAGATGTATTTGCCGCTGACAAAACTAGGAACATCAGTAAATGAAAGCATGAATTAAATCCAATTCCAAATTTTCCGATCTTTGTAGAATCATCACGCTTTCCACCCTCATGAATATTAAGTAGAGAATTAAAATCATGTTCATCAAACATAGCATCATTATATATCCAGATTGCTGGACCTTGCCAAATTGCCATTTCTTTGGTTAATAAAGATTCATTTCGATTAATCGAACGTTCATCAACTGTAACACTTTAAATTATTATAAATTTTTATCATCTCTAAAATAACATAACTTTAAAATAAACACTAGTAATTTAGTTACCGAAAAATTTTGGCTCCCGCGTCATCTGCATTTTGTAAAAATTCACCTGCAAATTTGAATATTATAAAAGAATCAATAATTTATTTACATATTGTTTTACCGACTGAAATAATTGTTTCAGCTGGTCTATACAAAGTGGTTATAGCTGACTTAAACCACTGGTTTAAATTACGATTAAAGCTATAAACCACTTATTACTTACGAAATACTGATTCGTAGGGATAATCCTGCAAAATACAAAAGGTGGGTGTATAAATTCAAGTTCGAAAAAATATGTAGTAAATTCAAATTTAAAATACGTAGTTTTATAATACCTTGATAATATTCTTAATTAGATTAATCAATCTAGAGCTTTGTCCATATTGCCTTACTCTGTCAGATAGTAAAAAATTGTTCCTTTCTTGAAACATCTTGGTAACGGTAATATTTGAGGAGAGTCTTTAAAATATATAAACGATTATTAATTTTATAATTTTAAAGTATTGCATTTTACGTATAAATTTTATCATTGATCATCATTATGATGTACAGTATATCATCAACCCCTGATCAGATGATCGAATGGGAACGACGCCGATCTTTTGGTTATGTCCACTTCGCAGATAATAAATGATTTATCCGAGGTTATTACGTATTATACTTCTACACTATACTTTCAAATTAAAGTTTCGTACTTCCTAAAGTTTAGCTTACTACGATTTTCTTTCATTTTCTTTTTTCTTTGATTAACAGCTTTTACATTTTTTTACATTTTCACTTAATCGAAAAGGAATATAAAAATCCCGGATCAGCCTGAAATTGAAAAGCGAGAAAAAACGGTATAGAAGTATAATTCTGTAAATAAGAAATTAATCTATTTTGCCTATTTTGGGATCTTCGAATACTGTTAAGCGTGAGAACATTATGATAAAGGAATAAAACACGGACTTCGTAGTACTTTAGTTACGTATCATACTAAATCATCAGACAATTCGCAATAATCACAAATATGATCCAAAATCTGCCCATATTCAAATTTTGACCCCAAAAAATCGCATATTTTGCTTACGCTGTTAGACGAAGCCTCGAGGTTTCGAGTTGACGAAATGCGAAATCTTGTTCGTCTTTCGTCAATGACGAAATGACAAAACTGACGAAGGTGATGAAAGGTGACGAAAGTAAAATAAAAAAGTACAAAAAATTTTATTGTATAAGTTTAATAGGCGCTTGAATTGTTTAAAGGGGTATTCTAATCTGATATTGTATTATTCTGGTACACATATTAGTTCTAGTGAGAAATCGCTTGGTGCTTACTTTGTGATCTTACAAATTTATTTATTTATTTTGTGCCAGTATGTTTTAATTCATTATTTGTGTTAATCCATAAGTGCTATGGTTTTTGACAAACCCTAGCATTGTTTAAAAAAAAAATGAACTGGATTATTTTTGCTGGCATACATGTAATTTCTAAATGATTAAGTTTAAGGTTTTGTCTTTCATCAGAAGAATTTGGGGTTTCAAGTTTCGTCAGAGGTTTCGTCTGATAACTATAGTTGAGAACTCATTGAAGATATTGTTAATAAAAAATAATAAACAAACTATAACTTTATAAAAATTACAAAAAATTTTATTATATAATAGGCGCTTGAATTGTTTAAAGGGTGTTAGAAATGAGTATTTTACATGTATTATCTAGTACACAACATATCAATTCTAGTGAGAAATCGCTTGGGGAACGTCCATAATTTACGTTAAACCAGTATTGTTATAGGGATCTTAAAGATAATACAAAATAATACTATATGAAATGGTCTTTATTTTTATACAATACTATACTGGTTTAACGTAAATCATGATGCCCCCTTGGTGCTTTGTGGTCTTACAAATTTGTTTGGCCAGTATGGTTTAATTTATTATTTGTGTTATTCCATGAGTACTATTGCATTTAACAGTTATTTAAACTAGTTTATAACAACCCAAACATTGCCTGGAAAAAAGTTATTTTGCTGCTCTGATCGAATTTTTATTCAATGAAAATAGCATTAATTTCTTAATTTTTAATTTTTTATTTTTTATATTTTTATATTTTTTTTACTTATTATTTTATTAATTTATTTATTTATTATTTTTTTATTTTTATTTTATTTAATATTTTTTATTTTCATTTTATTTTTTATTTTTATTTATTTTTATTTTATTTTATTTTATTTATCATTTATTTATTTTTATTTTTATTTTAATTTTATTTATTGTTTTTTTTTATTTTTATTTTATTTATTATTTTTTTATTTTCATTTTATTTTTTATTTTTATTTTTTTTATTTTATTTTATTTATCATTTATTTATTTTTATTTTATTTATTATTTTTTTATTTTCATTTTATTTTTTATTTTTATTTATTTTTATTTTATTTTTGAATTATTATTATTAACACCACTGGTTAAAAATAACCACTCCTATTAAAACTTAGAGTTAGGCAGGGACCTGTGGATTTTGTGATATAGTTTAATAAATTATGTTTTCGATATCAGCAAATTATTTGATTTACTGCTGATTAACAATAAAGTCCGAATTTGTATAAAATTTAACAATCTATCTAACTAGGCGTATGAGTTGTTTAAAGGGAGTTAGAAAAGAGAATGTGTATAGTATTGTATTGTGTTGTTATATTATTCTTTTCATTTTTACAATATTGGTATAGGATCGTGGTTAATCTAAAGATGGATAAATATTTACGCATTTAGATTTATATGGATGAATAGTGTTCCTATGAACCTGCAATTGAATATGTTCAAAGTTTCAAATAAAGAAAGAAGCATATAATCACAAAGATAAAAATACTTATATCTCATGATCTACTTGACCGATTTTAATGTTTTAACCACCATTCTGTTCCCAAGACACTCCTTTACAACTTTACTTAATCGTAGAAAAGAGGTTTACTTAGTAAGAAAAAAATTTTCTTTGAGAAACTCCAAAGTTGAAAAGTTTCTTTCATAATAAAAGCTTTGAATTTTAACTAAAACATTTTTCTTTACTAAGTAAACCTTTTTTTCAACTTCTAACAAAAGTTGTAGAGAAGTATCTTGCGATCAAAATGGTGGTTAAAATGTTAAAATCAGCCCAGTGATCATGAAATATAAGTATTTTTATCTTCGAAATTATATGTTTTCTTCTTTATTTTTAAAGAAAAAATTTTTTTTTATATAAATAAAGAAGAAAACAAAGATA